TCATTACCCGCCATAAATCTGAGATTGAAGTTAGCGACACATGACCTCGAAGCCAAAGCTACATACGATGAATTTAAACGACTACAAGTAAAACTTATCTTATGAAAATAAGGCAAAATTAATATGAAGTGAACATTTTTTCATAAAAATTCGCCATCGTTTTCATACAATGGGGTATAAAGATGCCCGCATGCCGACCCGATTCTCGAACCTTCTGATAGCCGATTTCGGGACGAAATTGAAAATTAATGACACGGAAGTTAAACTCTTCATCCGTTCATCAGACAATGGACTTAGATTGATTTAAAGCTTATACTCATCGATAGAAAAGGTAACCCTCATATATTTTTTTTATAGAATCTAGATCCAACAATTACATTGAGAAGAAATTGAAAGAACAATCTTCATCAAATCTACGGAAAGTATTCATAATAAGACATCTTCTGAATTGCTACAAATGTATCGCAGTAAATACAATTACTTACTAGTAATAAATAACCCTTGAAAGATATACACATATAACTTTTTCGAAGGCACATTTACTTAGGAGTCTATACAAATTTTTATAAAAGAAGTTATGTAGAGTAGTACTAACGAGGAACAAAAGTAAAAATAAACTTCTAAACTTTTAATATCCATGTGAAATTTTTCTATTACTGAGAATGGAAAGAAAGTCTCTTATCAGAAGCGATTATTGGGTTTAACATCTATCAGTTGGTTCCTCGCCAATACAGAAGTTTGCTGCAATAATTCTCAGTTGCCGACGTCCAGTCTCTGCGCTCTATTACTCTTTGGTCAGGAAATTGTCGAGTTCCGACCTGGAACCAGTCGCGTCGATTAACAGTTTGTCACTTTAATGGTACAACTTACGTTGTGAAAACATTCTATGAAGTTCGAGAGCTATATATCAATTTGGAGTAATTTAGTTGCATAGTTTTATGATCACTATATTTTCTAAACTCAAATGACTTAGAATAAAACAAACTAGAGGAGTTAATGTCACTTGGGATATTTATCGATAGATCTATACTAATATTATAAAGAGGAAAGATTTGTATTTTTGTATATCTCAAAAACCTAGGCCGATTTTAAAAATTCCAAGGCCATATTTTTTTATTATTCAATATCATGCGGGAGAAGTCGCCAGCAACAGCTAGTATGTAATAACAGAGAAGATTAATATAGTTTAGCATCAATGCTAAAAGCAAAAAGAACAAAGCTCCTTTCGTAAAATCAGCGATCATATAGAAGTTGTAAGCTTAAATACGTTTATAGACAATTGCGATATACACGTGTCTGTTACAATTTCAGTATGAGGTTGCTCAGTCGTGCGAACATTCAATATCTGGCGGGTAATATCGAGCGGTGACTTTGGCATAGGCACGATAGAGAACCGCTCCAAACAATAACACTTATCTTCGAAGCTTCGAAATTATCGCTCATTCATATTCATAAGACGCAAATGTAGTGCCCGGGGCGATTCCGAATGGTATTGGTTGGAGGGGGGCGTGTTGTACTTTAGGGAGGGACTCATTAGAATTCCATGTTTGATATTAAAACGTTTCGAATTTATCTGAATGATAAAATAGACGTGAAAAAAGGAAGAGAAAATACTGATAAATTTAATTGGAAAGTACCAAAAACGTGAAAGGCGACCGATGGTTAAATTGGGTCGTTTAAGCGAAAAAAATTTGTTTTCGTTATTTTTATTATTTCAGCTATTATCTTAAAAATGACGATCACGAAAGTAAATTTAATAAAACTAAAGAAGGAATAATGAAATGAGTTGTAACAGCAGTAGATGTAGTAGTAGCTAACTAAATTAACATTTAAAAGAAAACTAAAATCGCTTTTATTATCTTTTCAAAAACGTTAATCTTATTCAATTGCAGCGAACATTTTTATTTGTACTACATGCTTATATTCTATTTACCTAAAAAAATATTTTTTTTTCTCTCTTCATATTTATATTTCTTTTAAACTAGTTATCATATTGTGCGCACACCTTATGTAGGTAACCTTTTAATTTGTACCTTGTCAATATGCATTCTCTTTTGCAATATGTTTCTGTACGGATTATTTATTTTTTTATTATTATTATTATTATTTTGTAATCGAATGTGTGTAAATTTATAATTTTTGCCTATCCACCGCTGATACTGACATGCGGATGATCTCAGGGTTCTCGCGGAAGATCAGCGCTGGGTGCCTCTTTGAGTAGCACCCAGCATTCAAAGCTGAGCGTGGACCCAATCCGGCCAGCATCACAATGATTTATAATTTTTTATTTAGTTAATTACATTTTTTTTTCTCCTACTTAGTTTCTACGTCATGTTTGTTTGTCTGTTATTACTTCTGATTGTGTTGTTGCTAAGGATTAAATGTTATTTCATTTCATTTCATTTCATTTCATTTCATTTCATTTCATTTCATTTCATTTCATTTCATTTCATTTCATAGATGTAGCCGAGGTGCATATGCAAACCAGATCAGTAAGTCTGTTAGTTGTACAAACATTACAACCTAATAGCATAAGGCAGAGCAATGTTATGTCGACCCGGATTCTCATTCCAAACAATTTGCTTATATAGTCCAGGTTCTAAGCTCATACCTCGCCTATCAAAATGTCGTCAGTAAACAAAAGGGAGCATCTCGATAGACCGTGGCCGCTCGCCTTGAAATCCTTACCATAACGTGACGTAGATATATTAGCATTTAGATTATCCCCTTGTGCGCTGAGACACAAGCCGTCGTTTGCGGTGGCAGTCTCTCCCACCAGATTTATACCTTGAGAATTTCTTTATTAGAAAATAAGAATTTACCTTTATAAACAGAAACTAATAGTACTTATTCTCGTAATATTTATTTCTGTTTTATGTTTTACTTGAATCATTCAGTACCCTCTGATTGTAAAAATGTATAAAATCCACATTCATTATTCACTATTTTAAATTTACTCTCAGTGAATTGATTTATTACCATCTGCTAGTATTGACGCTGAGAGACCGAAATAAATTCAAACAAGAGACCTCTGGTAGATATCATTTAATAAGCTTAGTTTCATTTTCAGATTTCAACCAAACGCGACAACGGAATTCTAATTTTCTGTTAGCATTGAGCGGCAAAGCTCCCACCAAATTACGATTTCTCGTTTCAGTAATGAAAATTTATTGCTTCGACAAATAGACACGAGGATAGTCGAAGTATAAACAATTTAATCCATCTCTGTCAAAACATTTTTACTGACTCATTTTAATTTACACTGCGAAATCGATTATTGAAGAATCGCAATACATGTTATGCACGATTTTTTATTATCGTAGATTGTAAATTTGCAATTACTTTATTCTTTTCCCGTACACCAACAACGTATCACATCACCATATGACAGCTTCATTCAGTGTTATCCCCTTCGACATATTAAAATGCAAATCGACGTCGGTGGCTGGTGCGGAGTTTTTCTCTTTTGCTTGAATCGACCCGACAGCCGTAAAGAGACCATCATCTATACCGACTTCAACACGTTCCGGTGCCGTAAAGATCTAATAGGAAATCTTTTTTACTTATTCCAATACGTCCCGACATAAAGGCTTGTTTTTTTCTTATTCTGGCTTTACGAGCGCCAGTAAAATCCTTAATCGAGAATTAACGGTGAGACCGCGTTGCGGTCGAGTGGCGAGTTTGTGTCGGATTTACAAAAAGGGGTAATTTGATGGAAGCGGGTTGCGTTGTTGTATCATTTCGCTCATTAATTGCCTTCATAAGTTCGGCTTCGGTCGTTTTATCGCCGACGCAGGCGCGCACTTGCTCGCTCATGCAAATGACACGCACCGCGTGCCACTAACGATACTATTGTAACAATTTAAGAAGTAAAATAACAATAAGTGTGCACTGAGCCAGGTTAATATCTTTCCAGTATAACTGACGCGTGCGTATATGAAGCAATAAACGATTCGTGTCGAATAAAAGTCGATTGCTTATAGAGACGTCAGTCATACGACGTAATACGAGAATTCCGTTATTTCTTATACGCGGGAAGGAAAAAATGAATAAAAAATCATGATTGCTTCGGCGTCAATACTGCTAAGTCAAAATCTTATTTATAAGGCATGGTATCTAGCTAAGAATATAATTCAGTTGATTGCCTTCTTAACCAGAAATGAATGCGACTAATATTAATTATTATTAAGAGCCAATCTTATATTCTAAATGACATTTTTATTTATTTATTTTACGTCGTTATAGTTACATATTTAACCGTGAAATGGTTAAAAATGCTGGTTTATTAAAGATAAAACAATACATCACCAAACCCAACCGCGTGTGTCGCCCGTTTTCACGTATAATTTTCATAAAGCAGTGGGTCATAATTATGCAGGGTAGGGTACTCCGGCATGGGATTTTTGGTCGGAGTTTTATGTTAATGCACAGCCCGACTTCCCTGTATGCTAATGATCAAGTATGAGTACCATATACATACGGAGCCACTATTTAACCCTTCCTGCGCTTCTGTTGCGGACCGCACGAGAATACTTAATACGGGGACCGTAGAAAATTAATATTAAGGCGGGCCACATAAAGCACCGGTGAAATGATTTTGTACCCTGGATATTAATATATACACAACTAGATATATTAACAAAGGTAAGTAGTAACTAATATGTTTAAGATACTACCGATGAAGTTGTCTACAAAAAAATCTTATAAAAAAGTTATAATTTAAAGCTTCAAATTTCCTTTATTAAAATTAAGATTCCTGAGATTACTTTAGGGTTTATCATCGTCGGTTCGCTTTTTACATAATGTTTTAAATCCTACTTAAACTATCTTAACTAAGCGTAGATTCCCATTTGTTTTATCAAAACTAAAACGAATATTGACTTGATATAAGGAGCTATCTTATACTGGTGATTGAATTTTTTAATTTCAGACAAATTGTATATTAATAGAGTTTAGAATCAAATGAGAGTCTACAGGTAATAAGGGTATATGAGACTCACCGGCGGCGTCGACTTGACAGCTGAGGTAGAGCAGGCAGGCGACGAGCAGAGCGGCGGTGCGGTGGGGCGCGCGACGCCGCTGTCGCATCTTACCGGCGCCGTGCCGCGCCTGCACCTGCGCCTGCGCCAAACACTACGTCACAGCGCACCGCACGCCCCCACATTACGCGCGGCGTGCGCGCGTCGTAACCGCAACACAAACCCAACACACATCTAATACGACGCTCACGTTACTTACGGTGCTCCTTACTCACTATACACATCACAACCCAGTTTTAACACTAAGCTTAATACCTTAACTAACTATATATCACAAAAAATACGACAACCGTTTCGATTATTACAAAAAATCTTGATTAGGACAATGACAAATATTTATCGACTATATTTACAGTATTAGAGGATTTAATATAATTTGGAGTTTATTTCGACCGAGACAGGTATCCTAAATTAGGGATTCACTGCGTGAGCTCATCATGGTTAGCACAGTTCTGTAGTGCGGACGATTCTCAACCATATTCCATTGTTATTGCGTTTCCGTCTTCTCAACTGGACTCTTGTAAGTTAACACACCGGTTCGTTCGTCTGATATCACTAAAAATTATTTTATTCTCAATCAAACACATTTTTTATTGTTTGTAGTCATAGACATCGGCGCGGTGACTTTATCGCACCTGGAAGTAGACGAGAATAATGTAAACATCAGCATGACTTGTGTCATGTGGATGTTTGTCATTTAATTTGAAAATCGGAATCAGAGAGGGCATTATAATTTTTAACTAACTCAACGACTATTATACATGTGCTACGAAACTGCTACGGACTTTTGTATGACTTGGCTTCAATGGTTTGAATTTTCAAAAAAAAACAATTATTATAGTAAAACCGATTTCATACTGCTTTATATTAAAACGTAGGTCGTTAAAATAACCACTGTTTATTGTATAAAATGCCTCGCAATCGGCTTTCGTGTTGATCACGTTCGGCCTTTTTATATCCGCATACATTTAAAATTAAGTCACGTTTGTCAATTTGAAATTTTATTTCAATAGCAATAAAATCGAAAATACATCAATTTAGAATGATTAAACATTTTATACTTTACAAACCTGTGGGAAATTGAAAGTTTATCCCAGAATTAAATAAAATCATCTCTATATTATAATAATTACAAAATAACAAAAGTAATTTATTATTAAAGAGGTACTTTTTACTCTGTTACTATCAATACTGTAACTTTTCTAAAATTGAGTAATTCCGATTCAATCAGCATCTCATAATTTTGTGAATGGAAGGATCTAAATAAACCCTTGAAGTTTGGGTTTGGGTATTTCGATTAAACAAAGTTGGCTCGTTATGGTGAAATAAGCCAAAAGTCGACCGGGCGCACGTTGCCGCGACGGCCCGCACTAAATACATGAACATCGGCAGTTGTATTTACAGTATCATGTGGCTACGGCATGACATAAATAACATCATAGCATGAAAACATTTACTTAGTATGTTCTTTTTAAATTTAAAAGCATGGTACATTGACGTAACACAAAGCAACGACCAATCACACATTATTATGTGTATATTTTTTATTTCATAAACAAGTGACATGTAATTTATTGTAAATTTCTGTTACAAAATAAATTATTAATGACTAAATGTTGCTTACGACTTCTTCACGTAAGGTAAAGCCTATATTACTCAGCGATAAGGTAGCTTTCTAATGATGAAAGATTTTTTTACATCGGCCTAGTAGTTTTTGAGTTTTTTTAATACATACAAAAATACAAATATTTCCTCTTTAAAATATTACTATAGATTTGCAATTGAATGCAACTTGCCTTTGATAATAAACATGTAACTTAAAATTCAGTTGATATTCGTCAATAAAGAGATTATTGTAGAACATAACATAAAACTCAACCCAACATTAAACAGAGAAGGGACAGAAAACATCAAAAATCAAACTTTCATAACTCAAACACGCCACGACAGTAACAAAGTTTCTAAACATGAATTTATTGACACTTGGAGCGAGCAATGGACGGCCGCTATTCTAATCCCAGTCCTATATGCCCCGGGCACGTACGGACTTCAATTTTCCTAAGGTTGTTCCTAACAAATTTAAGTCCCACCAACTCAAATATCAGTATTTGTTTTATTTTAGAAAAATATTTTAAACAAGAATAAAACAGAGATTTTTATAAAACTAGAAATTAATTGGATAAATAGAGTAATTAACAGATTGTACATAAAAAGTTTTATCTTAATATGAATGAAAGAATTGCGTAAATAAATAAAATTGCTTGCAATTCAGTGTATTTTACCTGTTGCATTTTTTATTCACTAGTATTATATTTTCGTACCAATATGCTTTACGTAAAAAAGTTTACAAATACCCATTAAAATAAATTCACATCTGAATTGTATAGCAAATATAGATGTTATAAAGTGCCAACTTTTAATGTAGATATTTCATTGCACCGGGGAACACATAAAAGAGTCGTAACTCAAGCCCACTTGGAATTCAATAAGCGACGCGACGTCTCACTTTCAACAAAATAGAAAGGGACGGACGAATCAAACTAAATAACTCAATGAAGGGGACGGGGGGAGGCGAGCAGTTTGCACGACTTATAACTTCAATAAGAGCGGACCAGGTGTGGCCGGTTGTCTTGGAGCTATTTGCATACAGCCCATGACTCCGATTCCTCTGAATAAGTATACATTTTTAACGGATACGGACGAAAATAGCTCTTATCCCAATAGCATTAAAGAAGATCAGATTTGCAGTCGAATATACACACAAGAATTATTTACCTTCTCATTCGTATTTCAACAGCTGGGGATATTGTGTTTAGTTACCTGCGGTAATGGCATTAGTTTGAAAGGCTCCACCATTAGTCTCCGACCGCACACACGGTCAGGTACTTGTAAAAACTACAGAGAAATCATTATAACATATTGCTTTGGAGTAGACGTTAAAAATAGTGAAAAGTTTTATTAAAGGAAATGTTGATTTGTATATAACACAGCTATAAATTTTACTTCGGGAAAAATAAAGTTAATGGGGACAAAAATAATTTAAAGCTATGTTTTCGCATTTATAGGACGAACTGATATCCTAAGTCATATTCTCAGCGTAGTTAAAATTCATTCGTGTCAATCAAGACCGTAACTTCTAAGAGTAATTTTATTTATATCCATGCTCTATAATTATAATAGCGCTTGTAACGACGTTGGTTGTTTGCACGAAACTATTAAACTTGAAGGAAACAAGTCAAGAACAGCATCCGAGACGTTTACACTTGGAACTAAGTGTAATGAAGTTACTCAGTGAACTAAACTCGAAATTAATCTGTTGCGTTTACTATAATGATATTAGTATAAGTGTGAGATTGGAGCGACTCGAGTCGCAGACAGCTATAACCATCTATCATGTCTCGCCTCGGAAACGCTTAATCACCTCCCGATCTTAATTAACTAACTAACGACCTTATTTGCGAACTTCTCTCGACATCCGTCTGGGGGTTCATTTTTAACTTGCATTACGTCTGCTCCAGATTTTAGATATACTACGCTACAGTTCAACAACGACTAAATTAATCTTATTTTTGTACTCTGAAGCTTTTAGAAAATGTATCAAATCATTATAGCAAATGATTTACACTAATATAATATGAATAATCTCGGTTCGGTACACACGAAGATGAATATATACACTAACCTTTTTTTGTTTCGACATTTACCACCAGCAATTTTTAGCAAGTTTATAAATTAGATTCAATGTATTTGGCACACATTACACATAGAGTAAATGTGAACAATATTTTGACACACGTAAAACGTGATTTTAACGTGCTTGTTAGAAATAAACTTCAAGGTCTAAGAAGTAGGAAGGGAAATGAGAGAGGTGGCCCGAATACGCCAACGGCGATTGCAATTATGCTAAGTACTTCTTACTGTAGAAACTGTGTCAAGCATCGGTCTATTCATAGAGATGTAAATATTATTGAAATAGAAATTAATTATGAGCTGAAGAAAGTATTAATAGATTAACAGATTTATAAAATCGGTAAGTAAGGTTTACTTCTAAAGTGAAATTTCAATTTCAATCTTACATGAGTCAAGTATACAAGAATGAAGGAGTTGGTTGACTTCACACATATCTTTAAATTTCTTTATCAATATAATCCGGTTGCATTACGATGTTTTACTTCACTGTGAAAAACGTAGGTAGCAACCGAAATAGAAACAAACTTTGTCTAGGAAATATAAAATTTGTAATGTAAACTTTTGTAGGAACTATTAACCTAACAGGTCTAAGATAGATATCAAAGATAAATAGAGAAATTAAATCTGTTATTTTATAAAAAACGGCTGCATACACTGTCATTGTAGACGTAGAAGTAGAAAAGAATCCGCTCGCCATTGTTTTATCTTAGTTTCCTCCGATTACTGCCGCCTTTGTTCCTTTTCTGAGCACTTTTTGTGTAAATCCGAAACTGACCTAGATAGTTCTACGAGCGTAATTATTGTTTCGTTTTTAGTGTTATTACTTGCAAGTATTCGCCTAGAAATCACTGAACTTATAAAATTATAGTAAAGATTGCCTTACTTTAGTCTTGTATATTTTTATGCTACCGTAGTTGAAACTTTAAATAAAAAATGTTTTACAAACATTATGATATCAAAGTTTTTGATAATAACATTTATAACTATTTAACTTTTAATTGTAAGAATCCACATTAACAATTTTTTCCTTAAAAAACATATTTCTGGTAAAGATTTATTTCTACCGAAACATTGTTAAATGTTCCACCGACCAATAGTAAATAAAATATCCTTTTATCGAAATACAAAAGTAAATATTTTTAAATGGGATTTCCTTTATGTTGTTTAGATATAAAAACGAAAACAAATATCCTTGTCAAAGCGACTAACGTTGAAGCCAAATTGATCTGTCGCTGTTGACAATAAGGTCCAAAATCCTGTGTGACCGATGTCATACATAGGCTAGCGTATGTTTGCGGCTTGTTAAAACAAATGTAGCTCGGTTGTCAACGCGCCGGCTAATCCCGAGGCTTCACTGTCGGCATTATCACGACGGATCACAACTTAGGGTTG